CAAAATATCAGAGACGATGACATCTGACACTCTGATATTTCGGTGAACCACAATGTCTAACACGTCACCATTTCCCGCAGGGGAATAATGAGTGGGGCTCTGTGGTGCTGAAATTTCAAAATCACTCCTATCAAATAAATCAACGAGTTCCAAGCCTGAGGGGTTTGAAACTCTGCTATTCCAAAATGGGTTCTTAGCATTCAAATCACCTGCCAAAAGAGACTTACGTCTGAAGCTTAAGAGCTCAGTGATGTCAGCATCACTCCAGGCTTTGCTTGGAGATTTGTAAACAGCTGCAAGCAGCACTTCGCTATTACCAATTGGTATGCAGACCCCTGTCGCTTCTACTGAAACAAGGGGTGGTAGGTCTACATGGATGTGGGGAATGCCTTTTCTTACTGCAACGGCAGTTCCGCCCTTTCTTCCCGACTGGCGGTCGATTCTATAAAAGTGGTAATTTGGAATAAAGAACCTCTCATGAGGTTTCAGATGTGTCTCTGAAAACAGGGCCACATCTACGTGTAGGTCTTGCAGCTGTTTACTGAGCTCATAGCGCTGCCTCCCAATGCCGTTCGCATTAAATGCTATGACTTTGAGGGGCCTATGAACTCTAGTGGCCATTCTGTTTCATAAGACTCAGAACAATTTTGGTAATGGCCATTATTTTTTCCTCTTCGGACACTGCACCACTGACCTCTGTCATAATCTGCTGTACTACAGTCACCACTCTCAACATATTGTCGAGAGATTGACTGTTTACATTAGAAGCCTGAACTGACTGACCTGTGTGTTGTTCCAGTACAGGAACCGGGACGGTCGGTTTCTTGACTGCTGGTGGGACTGCCACTGGTGTATGTAGAGTCTGAGACCGCTGCTCCTGCAACGTGTTGCCTCGGAGAGCCGCCGCGAAGGAGACTCCAGGAGTGACTATATTTGATGAGAACACCCTTCCTGTTGTGGTTTTGGGTGCTCTCTGCAATTTCCTCTTCTGCAGCTCCTCCTTCGCGTGACTGCAGCCGCGGTAGTTAGCGGGATGCGGTTTCTCCCCATCCTTCAGCTCACAGTTACAACACGCTGGAGTGGAGGTAGCGTTCTCTTTCTCGGGGCACTCTCTGTGCAGGTGGCCACCCCCGCACCACATGCAACGGGGAGGTTGTTTACAATTAGCCCAGACGTGGCCAAATTGTTGGCAGTTGTGACACTGCGTAAGGCCACTCTGTGCTCTATAAGCCTCGACCCGGATGGAAATATGGCAAAGGTTATTTAGCTTGAAAATATCTTGGGATTTTGCCGTCCTGGGTAAGGTTATAAGGAAGAGGGGAAGGTTTCTGGATATCCTTCCTTCTGAAGGCGACCCTCGGGTGGTTGTCATCTGCTTGACGCTAACCACGTCAAATCCCAGGGTCACCAATCCCTCAGAAATATCTTCCGCCGGGGTGTTGTGGGGGAGGTGACGGATTACAGCCTTAATGGGTTTTAGGGACTTCGGAAAGAAGGTGAAATAGGAAAGTTTGTTGTTTGAGAGATAGGACTTGACGGCTTCGAAATCCGCCATGCTTTTGGTGATGACTCTGGTCCCGCTTTTGGTATTACGGAACTCAAAGTCACCACTGACCACATTTTTAAGTTGCTTCTGCAATTGAATTAGGTTTACAGTGGTCGTTATAATTATTGGGGGTGGCCTGCCTGCTCTCCCTGATGTATCCACCTCCAGAGTAGTGGATCCCTCCTCCAGCGCAGTGGCTCCGTCACCAGCAGAGTCGGTGTCCATTGTCGTCACCCTGAGAGGAGCAAAGTAGTTGCGGGTAGGCACCTCTTTGGTTTTGGTGTTGCCTGTGGCAGCCGCTGCCTTCTTTGAAGTCGGGGCGGACTCGGTTGTGCTCTGCCGTTTCCGCCTTCGGACCTCTTTGAAGTCTTCCTCTTGGGAGGGCTTCGTCTGGGTTTTTGTTGCCTCCGATGTTCTGGCTTTCACTAGGGACTTCAGATCGTTCAGTGTAACTGTGTAGGTTCCGTACAGAGCACTGAACAAAATCTTGCCCTTGAGAGCCTTGCAATAGCCCTCTCTGCTTTCTTCAGCGGCATTTATTATTGCCGCCCACTCAGCACTTTCTCCAATTGTGGCTGGTGTGAAGCTGGCCACATCCTCAATATCACAGATGATTTTAAACAGTCTCCTGTAGTGTTCATCTGCTGCAGGATATTGCTTTACGTTTTCCTTGTACTCTGCCTGTAGTGAGGCTCTTTTCTCTGTCCAGAATGCATGGTAGCCAGGCACCGAGGCGCCCGCCATGTCTGGCACGGCACGGCACGACACGACACAGGCCTCAACCAAAATCTGATAATTTTAACAACAAAGGATCGAAAATTTCAGCGCTACCAGCAATATAACTCCTTAATACTCTCCTTGAGCGTGAATCAGTCCTGTCCTGTCAAACAGACAATCTCGAATCCACCACTCGATCCCGATTCCGCATCGAATCCAATCCGCTCTGACGTATACAACAGCACACTAACTCCGAATCGAACTCAACTCCACGTCCACTATGAATCCCTATCCTGGCTCTCAGTGTGGGAACATCCCACATTATCCGATAAAGAATTTTCTCTACTCCATGTCGTCCAGACCGGCTCTGGGGCCCACCAAGTCTCCTACCCAATGGGTAATGGGGGTTTTCCCCGGGGTAACGCGTCCAGGGCGTGAAGCTATCCACTCACCTCCAACTAGTGCCGAGTTCAAGAAAATGTGGATCTATACATCCACTCCCCCGTAAGCCTTCATGGCGTAGTGCTTAATTAGTTAAGCACAGGGACAACTTTGCCTTTACCGGTATTGAATTCTACGTTCAAGTTGATGAGAACTGTTAATTGTAATTAAATTTACATAGAAATTTTACAGTAAGAGAATGCAAATATGAGCAGGCTTTCGCAGGAAACAGGAAACACGCTGGCCAGCTGACCGCGGTCACTTGTTTCTAGGTTATAGAGCCTGACAAATGTCAATGCAGAATGAATCAACAATGTCAAGTCCACCAATTCATCGGCTCGGGGCACAATATTGTACTTGATTTTCTTGTTCAGGCAATCACGGAACTACAGCGAAACAAGTTGCGCCGCCCTCTGCCTGCATAACGACACAGACTCGATCGCAAGAACGGCTTTACGTAAGAGACTGTCAGGAAGACGTGGAACTCAGACTACTCTACCACCTAGGTCCATATTTTGCGAGAACTTGAAAAGAAAAAACGGCATTAATTGATTTCAGTAGAGGAACATCTCGGTCCAGTTCGCGGACCAGCAGTGTTCCGCGGGATCACAGTTTGCAAAGTGCAGACTTACGGACTACGTAGTGGGTAAGAGGTGGATAATTCGAGAAGGTTCTAACGAACTTGGCTCGATTGTTTGTACCCAATACTGCCGCTTGCTGTTCCCAACCCCCTACCTAACGCGTGTGGAACAGGCTATCAATTTTTCACGGTCCTGGGTTCCAGATCCTTTTTAACGAAGGGAATGAAAATCAATAAATTAGAGCGGCATTTTTGTGCACAGCCCGGGGAAGATACGAGGGTTCATGCCTCTGTTCGAGCAGTTGGCACAATACAAAAAGCTGCAGGGCACGCGCTTCTGTATGTACTCCTATTTGGTAGAAGTGGTGGTAGTCGTAAGTAAAAAGTAAGTAAAGTAAAGCTGTCCCTGTAAGAGGCCGTGAAGACCCATAGGTTTGTGAGACGTTGAGGGTCCCACATTATCTAGACAATCGGCTCACAGATGGCAGCACAGGCAATAGTAATGATATGTGCCTTAGTCGTGTACAAGGCCGTGCCATGGCTCAGGCGGTTAGTCGCCGGTTTCCCACCACGGAGGCTCGAGTTCGAGCCCAGGTCAGGTCATGTGGGATTTGTGGTGGACAAAGTGGCACTGGGTCAGGTTTTCTCAGAGTACTTCGGTTTCCCCTGCCAATTCACATTCCACCGACTGCTCCACACTCATCATCTACCGCCTGGGGCTGGTACAGTAGGCCAGTAGTGGCCGCGGAACCAAGTGAACTCAGTCTCACCCCAACCCAAGCAAATACAAACTATAAAACTAGCCGTGTACAAGCTTCCAGAGGAGAGGAACGTCAATACCAGCGAGAAGACTATATCAGTTGCATGCTCCTATGTTTCTGTGCGACTCCGCTGAGACGTTAAAAGGTCCTGAGTAATCTGTGATCGAGCAGACTGGCCTATCCGAAGCCTTCCTGAATAGTATTCTGGAAGTATTCGATTCCAATCTCGGCCAAAATACGGACTGAAATTTTCATGATTTTCAGTAGTCCCTCGTGTCTAATGTGGGATAGTATCTTAAAAGAAAAAGCTACGGTAGCTTCCTTCCACATCCTTTGCAATTAACTGTTCATCTGTTACCCTAGCATTCGACGCTGTACAGTCTATTTAACTGGCTCAAAACAAATAACCAGCAATATAAAGCCATCTACGGTAAGTCATTGCAAGTTTAACAGTTGTGAAACCTCGCACGAGTGAGAGCGGTATATGAGTGCGCATGCGTACTACGGTCTTTACGGCTACTACTGAAGTTAGGTATACCACAAACGATTGTTTTGGGGCTTGTTCACAACAACCGCCTTCACCTCCAAACCTACCTACCTACCTACCTACCTACTCACAAAAATGATAGGACTTTCTTTTTCTAAAAACCAGAATAGGGACATTGATTCCTCTTGAACAGTCGCCATTTTGAGGTATGACATAAATTCTCCCAGACATCAATGCGGTGAGTACAACACTGGAATACAAAACTTTTCGATTTACACTTTCATATACCGTAAGCAGTTTCGTTTCGTTATTCCCGGTTTCAAAATTATAGGTCACAGAAACTTCAACAATGATTTAAAATCACACCGTACTCAGTTTTCCAAGTGGAAAATATTATAGCTGGTGAATATGTTAGTGACACCTCTCAAGAACAGCATTTCTAAGCTTTAATTTTCAGCAATTACTCACTCGAGTCGGTCTGGTTGCTCTACAGTAGAAAAATTGTTCTCCTCTCCACAGGGTTCAGACCGGTACAGGGGCCCAACCAGTCTCCTATCCAGCAAGTACCGTGGGCTCCTTCCCCTGGGTCACTTCCATCTGGTAACGAGATCAAGAATGTTGTAGCTATACCTCCACTACACCCTATGTCTTCATTGTATGATGCTTAATTTATTAAACACAAGGAAAATTTTCCTTCCCCCTTTAACCTGCAAAACAATGATAAGGAGTTAGATGTATTTCTTTTTATTGCTAGTGGGGTGGGACTATGTCCCTTGTACAGCGGCCACTTCTGGCCTATTGTACCAGCCCCAGATGATAGGTGAGGGTGATTGTGGAGCAATTGATGGAATGAAGATTGGCAGGGGAAACCGAAGTACTGGGAGAAAACCTGCCCACGGCCAATTTGTCCACCACAAATCATACTTGACCAGACCTGGGATCGAACCCGGGAAGCCAGCGACTAACCGCTCGAGCTATGGCGCGGCCTGAGTTAGAAGTAAGTGGTAAATGTTTTTAGCTCACATTATACGCATGCAACCACAAGCGGTGAAACGCTGTTGCCGTGACGTCGCCCATGATTCTACTTACAGTAGCCCGGTGCATGAATCAATGAAACAGTGCAGTTCTACAGCAATAGCCTTTCGTTGTCAAAGATATCATACTGGGCCAATATCCTTGTTACCTAACAGCTGTCTCACAACTTTAAATGCAGAACTGTAAGACAACAGCCTCGGGAAAGACACGAACTTAAACTCACCGCTGCTGCTACCTCAAGTGAAGAGGTCGGAAACTTAATGAGCTGAAATATTGTGATTTAAAATTAGTGTCACGATGGGACCGCGGCTCTGGGCGTCGCTCTGGACAGCCCTGGCTCGACTGCAACACTAATGAGCTTCTAATGGCAGTGGCTGTGTGGATTAACAACAGGGATTGGTACCCCTCAGTTACTGATTGATGTGGACAAGTATACTGCGCAAACATAACCTAACATAACCTAACCTAACCCAACCCAACCTCACCTAACATAACCTAACCTAACCAAATCCAACCCAACTAAACCTAACCTAGCCTTACCTAACCTAACCTAGCCTACCATAGCCTACCCTAGCCTAGCCTCGCCTCACCTCGCAACGCCCGTCTCGCCTCGCCTCACGTCAAGTCACGTCACGTACCGTCACTTCACCTCAAGTCATCTCACGTAACCTCACATAACCTCACCTCAACTCACCTAACTTAACAGCAGGGAATGGTATCCCTCAGTTACTGATTGATGCGGACAAGTAAACTGCGCAAACCTAACATAACCTAACCTAACCTAACCTAAACCAACCCAAACCAACCTAACCAAACCTAACATAACCTAGCCTAGCATAGCCTACCTTAGCCTAGCCTCGCCTCGCCTCGCCTCGCCTCACCACTTCCCGTCAAGCGTCGCCTCACATCAAATGATATCAAGTGACGTCAAGTCACGCCAAGTCACGTCAAGTCAAGTCAATTCACGCTAGGTAAGGTCAAGTGAAGCGAAGTCACGGCAAGTTACGTAAATTCAAGTCAAGTCACGTCAAGTCACGGCAAGACACGCCAAATCACGCCAAGTCACCTGAAGTGACGTCAAGTCACGTCAAGTCACTCCAAGTCACGTCAAGTCAATTCACTCCAAGTAAGGCCAAGTAAAGCCAAGTCACGCCAAGTTACGCCAACTCACGTAAAGTCACGCCAAGACACGTCATGTCACGCCAAGTCAGTCAAGTCAACCCATGGCACGCCAAGTCACGCCAATTCACGTCAAGTCACGTCACATCACGCCACATAACCTCAGCTGACCTCACCTCTTTTCACCCCACCTTAACTCACTTCACCTCACCTAACTTGACAGCAGGGAATGGTACCCCTCAGTTACTTATTGATGCGGACAACTATAATGCGCAAACCTAACCTAATTTAACCTAACCTAACCCAACCTAATCTAACTTAACATAACCTAGCCTAGCATAGCCTCGCCTCGCCTCACCTCTCCGCGTCACGCCTCGCCTCACCTCAAGTCACATTAAGTGACATTCAAGTCAAGCCAGTCACGCAACGTTACGCCAACTCACGTAAAGTCACGCAAGTTACGCCAACTCACGTAAAGTCACGCCAAGTCACGTCACGTCCCGCCACGTCACATCACGTCATCTCACGTCACCTCACCTAACCTCTCCTCACCTCACCTAACTTGGCAGCAGGGATTGGTATCCCTCAGTTACTGATTGATGTGGACAAGTATACGGCGCAAACCTAACCTAATCTAACCTAACCTAACATAACCTAACGTAACTTAACCTAACCCAACCTAACCCAATTCAACCCAACCTAAACTAACCTAACGTAGCCTAGCGTAGCTTACCCTACTATAGCCTCGCCTCGCCACGCCCGTTTCGCCTCGACTCACGTCAAGCCACGTCAAGTCACGCCAAGTCACGTCACGTACAGTCACTTCACCTCACGTCATCTCACGTCACCTGACCTAACCTCACCTCACCTATCCTAACTTAACAGCAGGGAATGGTATCCCTCAGTTACTGATTGATGTGGAGAAGTATAATGGGCAAACATAACCTAACCTAACATAACATAACCTAAACTAACCTAACCTAACACAATCCAACCCAACCTAACCTAACCTAACCTAGCCTAGCCAAGTCTCGCCTCGGCCTCACCTCTCCCATTCACGCCTCGCCTCACCTCAAATCACATCAAGTGACGTAGAGTCACGACAAGACACGTCAAGTCAATTCACGCCAAGTAAGGCCAAGTCACGCCAAGTCGCGTCAAGTCACGTCAACTCATGTCAAGTCACGCCAAGTCACGTCAAAACACGCCTAGTCACATCAAGTAAATTCACGCCAAGTAAGGACATGTCACGCGAGTCTCGTTAAGTCACGCCAGGTCACATCAAGTCAAGTGACGTCAAGTCAAGGCAAGTCACGCCAATTCACTCCAAGACACGTCAAGTCAATTCACTCCAAGAAAGGCCAAGTCACGCCATCTCACGTCAAGTCTCGCCAAGTCACGTCAAGTCACGGCAAGACACGCCAAGTCACGCCAATTCACGTCAAGTCACGTCACGTCACGTCACTTCACCTCACGTCACCTCACTTCACCTCACCTAACCTCACCTCCCCTAACCTAACTTAACAACAGGGAATGGTACACCTCAGTTACTGATTGATGAGGACAAGTATACTGCGCAAACCTAACCTAACATAACCTAACATAACCTAACCCAACCCAACCCAACCTAACCTAACCTACCCTAACCTAACCTAACATAACCTAACCTACCATAGCCTACCCTAGCCTAGCCTAGCCTAGCCTCGCCTCGCCTCACCTCAAGTCACACCAAGTAACGCCATTTCAAGCCAAGTCACGCCAAGACACGTCAAGTCAATTCACGCCAAGTCACGCAAAGTCACGTCAAGTCACGCCAAGTCACGTCAAATCACGCCAATTCACGTCAAGTCACGTCACGTCATCTCATATCACCTCAGCTCACGTCACCTAACTTAACAGCAGGGAACGATAGCCTTCAGTTACTAATTAATGCGGACAAGTATACTGCGCAAACCTAACCTAACCTAACCTAACCCAACCTAACCTACCCTAACCTAAAACAACCCAACCTAACCTAACCTAACCTAACATAACCTAGCCTAGCATAGCCTACCCTAGCCTAGCCAAGCTTCGCCTCGCCTCGCCTCACCTCTCACCGTCACGCCTCGGCTCACCTCAAATCACATCAAGTGACGTAAAGTCACGCCAAGACACGTCATGTCAATTCACGCNAGTCACCTAATTTAACAACAGGGAATGGTACCTCTCAGTTACTGATTGATGAGGACAAGTATACTGCGCAAACCTAACCTAACCAAACATAACACAACCTAATCTAACTTAATCTAACACAACCCAACTTAACCTAACCTAACCTACCATAACCTAACCTAACCTAACCTAGCCTACCATGGCCTACCCTAGCCTAGCCTCGCCTCACGTCAAGTCACACCAAGTGACGCCAAGTCACNCCAAGCTTCGCCTCGCCTCGCCTCGCCTCGCCTCACCTCTCCCCGTCGCGCCTCGCCTCACCACAAATCACATCAAGTGACGTAAAGTCACGACAAGACACGTCAAGTCAATTCACGCCAAGTAAGGCCAACTCACGACAAGTCACGTCAAGTTACGCCAAGTCACGTCAAATCACCCCTAGTCACATCAAGTCAATTCACGCCAAGAAAGGCCATGTCACGCGAAGTCACGCCAAGTCACGTCAAGTCAAGTGACGTCAAGTCAAGGCAAGTCACGCCAAGTCACGTCAAGTCAAGTCAAGTCACGTCAACTGACGTCAAGTCACTCCAAGACACGTCAAGTCAATTCATTCCAAGTAAGGATAAGTCACGCCATCTCACGTCAAGTCTCGCCAAGTCACGTCAAGTCACGGCAAGACACGCCAAGTCACGACAAGACACGTCAAGTCACGCCAAATCAGTCAAGTCATGTCAACTGACATCAAGTCAAGCCAAGTCACGCCAATTCACGTCAAGTCACGTCACGTCACCTCAGCTGACCTCACCTCTTTTCACCTCACTTCAACTCACCTCACCCCACCCAATTTAACAATAGGGAATGGCACCCCTCAGTTACTGATTGATGAGCACAAGTATACAGCGCATACCAACCCAACTTAACCTAACCTAACCTAACCCAACCCAATCCAACCGTACCTAACCTAACCTACCCCAACTTAACCTAACATAACCTAGCCTACCATGGCCTACCCTAGCCTAGCCTAGCCTAGCCTAGCCTCGCCTCGCCTCACCTCAAGTCACAACAAGTAACGCCATTTCAAGCCAAGTCACGCCAAGACACGTCAAGTCAATTCACGACAAGTAAGGCCAAGTCACGCAAAGTCACGTCAAGTCGCGCCAAGTCACGTCAAATCACTCCAATTCACGTCAAGTCATGTCACGTCATCTCACGTCACCTCAGCTCACGTCACCTAACTTAACAGCAGGGAATGGAACCCCTCAGTTACTAATTAATGCGGACAAGTATACTGC